ACTAGCCATGATATTTTAAAGGGGTCATATGATGTTGCTAAAAAGAACATTATTTTGTGTATTTGGTGTATTGAAATGTGTTTAATGTGGTTTAAGTTTAAAAAAACACATTATTTTCCACATATTGTACATTATTGTTGCTACTCTATGCCACGACTTTTGTCGATTTTTACAAAGTAAAGGTCTGAAAAGCGAGGTGTGCGGTGATTGGCCAGCTATCCAGTGCATTGTGATTGGCCGAATACCTCAAGCATGTGACGGAAATGTTACGCCCCTTACCATATGCCCTGTCCGGCCGGAGCGACGAGACAAAAACATGAAAACCCATTATAAACGAGGCATTTTTTGCATCCAGTGCGGACATAATTACAGATTATATGACTTGTACTGTCTTTTTACGCTGCGTTGCATCGCGCTGCGTAAACATAAAACCATGTCTGCATTTGTGATCGGAGAAATGACAAAAAACAAGCGCTACTCTACACTGCTCAAAACTCGCGTTTGAATCGTCAGTGGCAAATTCTTTAAATATAAAAAACTTACTTACAGTCTGCGAGTCAGAACAGCCGGCATTGTAGTCTACTCTCCCAGGATCAGGAAACAGTCCTTCATAAAATGTGCTGCACACATCTGAATATTTGGGTTAAACTGTTCTGGAACAGTGTTGTAAATACAACTTAACCACTGATTTCTAGTCATGTCCTCTTTTGGAAGACCAAACAAAGTAGTTTCGCTTTCACAACGAAACCCAGCGTCACACATGGCGGCCTAGAGTGAGGAATGGCCGGAGGGCTTGAGTGAGCTACGGCCTAGAGTATGCAGAGGCCGGCTTGAGTGAGCAGAGGCAGGTGGGCTTGAGAACGGCGCGGCCGACGGATTCGACAAAGGAGCAGCCGGCGGGCTTGCGGCAACCACATGTGACGACCCCGGGCTGAACTCCGCTTCGTCCACGGTGAAAAACCCATTATAAACGAGGCATTTGTTGCATCCAGTGGGGACATAATTACGGATTATAATGACTGTCTTTTTACGCATTGCGTTGCATCGCGCCGCTTAAACATAAAACCATGTCTGCATTGCATTTGTGATCGGAGAAATTACAAACAACAAACGCTACTCTACACTGCTCAAAACTCGCGTTTGAATCGTCAGTGGCAAATTCTTTAAATATAAAAAACTTACTTACAGTTTGTGAGTAAGAATAGCCGGCATTGTAGTCTACTCTACCAGCATCAGGAAACAGTCCTTCATAAAATGCGCTGCACACATCTGAATATTTGGGTTAAACTGTTCTGGAACAGTGTTGTAAATACAACTTAACCACTGATTTCTAGTCATGTCCTCTTTTGGAAGACCAAACAAAGTAGTTTCACTTTCACAACGAAACCCAGCGTCACACGTGGCGGCCTAGAGTGAGGAATGGCCGGAGGGCTTGAGTGAGCAGAGGCCTAGAGTATGCAGAGGCCGGTGGGCTTGAGAACGGCGCGGCCGACGGATTCGACAAAGGAGCAGCCGGCGGGCTTGCGGCAACCACATGTGACGACCCCGGGCTGAACTCCGCTTCGTCCACGGTGAAAGCCGATCCGGCGATCCACAGCGCGAAGTTGATGTATTTCCTCAGCGACCAGCACGGATCAGCTCCAGACATGACGAAGCGGATATTGTCCTCTTTTGGAAGAACAAACAAAGTAGTTTTGCTTTCACAACGAAACACACAGTGCCTTCACGACATGGAAGCAGCAACAATACTACAGCGAGAATAAAAGTTACGCCTTCTTTCTTTGCGTAAACATTTGGGCGGCGTTATGCAAATCTTCCCACATAGTGAGGTAGATATGTGTGGGCGTGTTACAACGAGCCGTTTTAGGGGGGTGTCTTTGTCTTTTCAACTTTACAGATCTTCTTTATGAACCAAGAGCTTGTAACACTCCAAAGAGAAAGGAAAAATTTAAATCGCATCATATGACCCCTTTAACAACAAACATGGTTTCAGTTGATTGAGGAAGTTTTTGTGGAATGTACAATGACATTACGTGATGACAAAAGTGAATTTGCACTCACAAATTTCCCTGTCAGGTGACTTTCCATTCCTTATCATCATGAGAGAAATGACCTTTTAGGACATCAAATTACCTTTTTCCCCTTTTAAATTAAATATCACATAATTTTACCACAAGAAATGTCCCTATAGTTCCTAATAATTTCCCTCCTCTTCCTCTCATTGAAAAACATTTGCATACATACTAAACAAAGTGGATAGTACATTTATTCACATACTATACTAATATATCATCGAGTTTACTTTTCATTTCAAAGAATCAAAATATATGACTTCAAATACATATTTTGTCTTAAATATGATCCTTTTTTTCAATGCCAGTCCTTTTCCTAGACGTCAGATGATTATGTAATTTCCACAGAGAAGTCTGAACCCTTCAAGGACTTTCTATTCTTTCTTTTTTTAAATGATATCTTTATGGGTAATGATACAACATAAGTTAGTTCTACATACATAAATATTCTTGTCTAAGATTGCAGCTGATAAATACATTTACTTACTTTCACACTTATTTATTTCCGCAGAAATAAATCAACTTGATGCTAAGCTTATTTTGTTCTTTTTCTTAGAATCTACTTTCTATAACTGCTATCAACAAGATAACATGTAATTGCTCAGTTGAGCTCAGATTCTCAGCTCTTCTTATTTGATAAAACAGTCCACAGCGACATCTCGCGGCCGGTGACAGTAATGAACGAAGTGACTGCCCGGTTGCCATAGAGACATCGAAACACAACCTCACCATTCCGCAAGTCATGCTGCGGTCAACTGAGGAGAAAACTGTACTTTTGTGTGCTTTAGATGATGATGTACAGGGACTTAAGAGTATTTTGGAAAGCAAGAGTGGCAACGAATCTCAGCAATCGGAGAATGTTCTGTGGGAAAAAGATGAGGTGGGAAGAAATGCGCTGTTTGCTGCGTGTACTTTTGGTCGGAGCGGCATCGTGCGCGAGCTCGTACAGAACGACGCTGACGTCAATGAACTCACAGCGCGCGGTAATTAGCGAGCAAAGTTACTTGTAGGCCTAATTAAGAAGTCTGAACCCTTCAAGGACTTTCTATTCTTTCTTTTTTTAAATGATATCTTTATGGGTAATGATACAACATAAGTTAGTTCTACATACATAAATATTCTTGTCTAAGATTGCAGCTGATAAATACATTTACTTACTTTCACACTTATTTATTTCCGCAGAAATAAATCAACTTGATGCTAAGCTTATTTTGTTCTTTTTCTTAGAATCTACTTTCTATAACTGCTATCAACAAGATAACATGTAATTGCTCAGTTGAGCTCAGATTCTCAGCTCTTCTTATTTGATAAAACAGTCCACAGCGACATCTCGCGGCCGGTGACAGTAATGAACGAAGTGACTGCCCGGTTGCCATAGAGACATCGAAACACAACCTCACCATTCCGCAAGTCATGCTGCGGTCAACTGAGGAGAAAACTGTACTTTTGTGTGCTTTAGATGATGATGTACAGGGACTTAAGAGTATTTTGGAAAGCAAGAGTGGCAACGAATCTCAGCAATCGGAGAATGTTCTGTGGGAAAAAGATGAGGTGGGAAGAAATGCGCTGTTTGCTGCGTGTACTTTTGGTCGGAGCGGCATCGTCCGCGAGCTCGTACAGAACGACGCTGACGTCAATGAACTCACAGCGCGCGGTAATTAGCGAGCAAAGTTACTTGTAGGCCTAATTAAAAATACTTATAACGTGCCCACTTTAACACCTACAGTAAAAGTTTTGTAGATGAAAACTAAAGCCTGAACTGGTTTGCTGGTCTGAGCTGATTTAACCCTATTGTTGTGGTCACACTTGTTATCCATCCAAACAGACCGAGGAAGCCTAACACATTTGAATAAAATACGTGTACTATATTTTGTTTCAATTACATTGTTTCTTTAATATTTTGCATTTTATATTCACCTCTGAATTGTGCACTATTTGTTTCTATATAGCCTAAAATACAATTATTGGAAAATTTCATATAGCTACCAAGTTCGCCAAATTGTTTTTGGACTAAAATGTCAGAGGACCACCAAAGGGTTAAAGGGATAGTTCACCCAAAAATGACAATTCTGTCATCATTTACTCATCCTCATGTCGTTCCAAACCTGTATGAGTTGCTTTCTTATGTTGAACACAAAAGAGGAACAGTTGGTGGTTGCCATTGACTTCCATAGTAGGAAAAAAAAAATACTATGGAAGTAAATGGCAACCACCAACTCTTTGATTACCAGCAATCTTCAAAATATCCTCTTTTGTGTTCAACATGAGAAAGCAACTCATACAGGTTTGGAAGGACATGAGGATGAGCAAATGATGACAGAATTGTCATTTTTGGGTGAACTATCCCTTTAACAGTTTGACAATAAATAATCAATATGGTTCACTCTTACTCTAGGCTACTCACCGTTGCATTATTCTGCCATGTGGGGTCAGCTGGACACTTTAAAAACTTTGGTTGAGCTCAATGCTGATTTTCAAGCTGTCAATTTCCGTGGAGAGAAGGCTGTTGATGTGGCCCGGCGTTATGACAAACTGGACTGCGCAGAGTATCTGGCATGGGCTGGTGAGAAAGTGAAACATTTCAGCACAAATCTTGTTATGATTAAGGCAGATGATGATTTTGTTTTTCTCCTGACAGAGGCCAAACAAAGTTTGCAAGCATTAATACAAGATGTCAGAGATATTATAGCTGATCCAGAGAAAGTTCAAGGGAAGCTCAATAAAGAGGACAAGGTCAAAAAATGATTTATTAATTCCTTAGTGAAAAGTTACCGATTGTCTTTTTAACATTTTTAACAAACCCATAAGTACACATTCTCTTATCATTGTTTGTGTGTTGCTGTATAGACCATGTTTATAAACATCTGTTCTGCAAAATCTGACTGGATACACAACACCAAAAATGCAACAATTCAAGACTTCATTGAACAGAAGAAGCACCTTGAAAACATACTGGAACCTATTCTGCTCAAGCTTAACACACAATGTGAGAACTGATCTATCTGATTTATCCGATTTGCATAGAAGCTGACAACTGGGTATTTTACTTAATTCAGTATCAATCAATGCAAAAATGAATGTATACTTTTTCATTTAACCCAGGGCATTTCTACTCAAAAAATATATATTTGTGCTTTTTTTTTGTTGTATTCCCTAAATGTAGTTTTGTGTTTCTTATTTATTCACAGCTGAAGCCACAATGAAGACAAGAAAGCCTTAGAAGCATTTTGTCATTCAAATAAAAATAAATATATTTACAAAAATTGGTTACATTTACTTAATACATGCTCTGTGTTTAGTCTTTTCAAATATTAAAAATTAGACGAACACTGTATGATTCCTGACACGAAATTGCAACAATTTTGTTTTGAATTATTATTTTTTTAATATTGAAAACGTACTTTTATTTTTTGGTTTAACTGCACTTAATTTAGAACATGCACATGCACTTTTAATTATTTACTGATAAAGAGAATGAAGTTTATATTAACACTCACAAATTATTGTGACAAATGAATACGTTTATAGTCTAAAAGCAGAGCTGGCTGGTGTTCTTGTGATGCGCTTAATGAACACTAGATGGAGACTGAGGACACCTTTCGTGTTCAGCTAAATTATCTCTCAATATCTATCAAATTAAATACATGTATTTTTCATTCAGGTTATGTCTATAAAATATGTTATTCAAGAACTAAATGCAACGCATATAAAAGTCGAATCAAATTAAATGAATTTTTATGACATTTTTGCACGAGGTTAACCAGCAGATGTCTCACTCGATAATCAGTTCACATCGGTCTTACTATGTCGATCAATGTTGGCAAAGTCTCAGATCGTCCTCATTTCACATTCAACAAACACATTATGTAGCCTATTTCTAAAATGTTCACTGAATTTGAATCGATGTGTAAATGTAGTGAAAGCTGCCTGAATCGATTTAAAACGTCAATGTGTGTTGATCGAGTCACTCGGTCATCCTCTAGTTTTCCCTGAATCCCAGCGCTCAGGCTGGCAGTGGCATGAGATTGAGGTGGAAAAGCGGTCTGGATTTTGTAGTGTGAAAAGGGCTGTCTGTCCTCACCACAGAACCGGGAGGACGGGAGGGAGGCAGGCCCAAACAACGAGTCACACTTAAAGTGGACGACAGAACAATAAACTGATACTTGCTGTTATTTTGATGATTTTTGCCGCATGGACAATGCAGTAAACTCCTTCCCTCGATCCAGGAAAACCGACGTCTGGATTCATTCAATTATTACTGCTGTTTCCATCTGACTCATGGACACAGACAAGAAACAGCAGTCCATCCGAATATTACTTCAAGAACTGCTGCTTGTTGCTACTGTTTTAACTTTTGGCTGCTGGTTCTGTTTAAGAAAACTAGGGTGACCTGAAACTTTGCACATTCGTATTTTTTAGGGTTTGATAAGTGTTTAAATACACTTTCGACGCTTTTTTTATATCCGTATTTCCTTATTTTATTGTATTTTATTGACGACTAGGTAGCTACAGTGACCAGTAATGTAAACATAGATTAGAGTCGCGCGTACATAATTTATATTCCAACTGTGAAACAGAAAAATATGGGAAACTCCAAACGTTTAGTTTGAACATTGTCATACTACTGTCGCTAGTTTATCCGGCTTTATTTAAACTCTTTTTAGCTGTATGGTTTGATACTAAACCAGCGGAAAGCATTGTGACTGAGGCTCTCCTGCCACGCGCGTGGAAATCCACCGGACTGGAGTCTTCACCTGGACGTTACCGTGGAGGTGTATCGAGCATGGAGACGGATTCAGTAACCGGTGGCGACGTGGACTCGGTTCAGGGAGGCATGATTTCTTTAGACCCTGTGGTCGATGGGATTTTGATGGACTCGTTTTGCCAGCAGCAGGGATGGGTGCGTGTGTACGGTAAGTGATATTCAGTGGCCGCGCTGGCTTCAGATCAGTTCACTTTAACACCTCGGTGATATAAATCACAAAAGAGGTGTTTTAAATATAATTATGTGCTTAAATGCATTAAATAACCAACTGATTTGGGGTTTTATTTTCTATCACCCTTTAATACCGAGGGGAATTCAGAGTCTTATGTTTACCGAAGCATTGTCAGACAGGACTGTATATGGCAAGCCGTTTTAACATTTAGCCTGTTTCTTATCAGGGAAATTTCTAGCGTTTCATGAGCCCCCAGCCCCCCATCCCCCATTAAGTAGCCCAATATTTAGATTTTATTGAAATACTGTTATGGATATATTTATATAAATTTATATGAATAAAAACAGAATCAAGCTACCCACACACAATAAGATGCTTCATCGCTGACAAACGAAAGAAGACATTGCACATTTTGTTTCCTAGAGTGGATTTTAGGTAAATGTCCATATCAATCAGCACTCCATTTTTATTATTATAAAATACATTTCTATGAGATTAGATCAACAGAGTGATACATTTTTGAATCTGGCATAGCTAGTTCTGATTATAAACTGCTAAACACACAACATGCTGATATATTTTCAGGGAAAATTATTCTTGGGTCGGTCTTGGAACACAGTTGTCTTTCACTGGTTCTTGTTCCTCAGTTAAAAGGGTTTAGCGATGCCCCATTCCTTGTAACTAGCGTTTTTTTCCACTAAGGTAACTGTTTATTATGTGCCAGTAGTGAATACTTGTTTATTTAGTCAGTATTACTCTTCTTCTACCAGTCGTTCCCAATACTAGTAGCTTGCTTTGCAGTTTAAATGTATAGGGGTCTGTTGATCAGATATCAACTATTAATTTTAAACTCAAATTTATACAAATTGCTAGTTTCGTATTCCATTTCTTTCTATTACTGTTGTTTATTCCTTAGTTTCTTGTAGCTATTCAAATAATCATTACTGGCATATAATCAAGTTCTTTTTAGTAATAATAGTAACATATCTTAGCTGTAATTTAACAATTGCTTTATGAGCCACAGATCTACAGAACCGTTATTAGTTGAGCAAATACTAGTCACTGTTGGCGTATGTACTGGTAATTAAAAAGAAGTATGAATAACATTAAATTAGCTGCTGGTTAGTTGTATGGGATATTAAAATGAAACGTAAAGTTGGCTTGCCATAGTACCACAGCTCTAATAGAAACATGTTGGCTTAATGGTTCATTTTCCTTCTTGTGTGTGACTTATGCTATACATTTTCAACTTAAAAAGATACTAGGTTAAGTCATATGTCCTTATACATTATACAGTGTGTCTGATGGTATCATGGTACAATACATTTTGTGCCTTTAGTGTGCTTGTTTTAACTGTAGTGTAATTTGTAAAGAAACAATGGCATGAATATATGATAGATTCCAATGTGTGCATTGATTTGTGGTTAAAGGAAGGGCTGTGTGGAAAATCCTGGTTACACATAATAGGTTTGAATGTTGATCTGGTTGTGGATGATTATGTCTCCTAGTTGTAATCGGAGACGGGGTGCAATAGAAAAGGTTTTAGCACATTGTTGACAAACATGAAAATGTGTTCTTGTCACGGTTTCAATTAGAGTTTTAATAGGGGTTGTTAGTTTGTTAATGCACATGCACAATTTTAATTTTTGATTTACAAGACAGAGTAATAGTAAGCCATGGTTACTGATTGTGTTTCCAGATCTGTGTTGTTAAATAAAGCTTCTTTAAGGCTGTGTGCACCCTATAGACATGTTGCCAGGGGCTGTTGTCATGGCAGCCTGTTGTCTTCTTATTTAAGGATGTAAGTCGAAACCAGGGACTTCACATTAAAGACAGGACATCCAGTTATGTCCACCCACTGCCACTGACTCTTCATCTCATTTTCCATCCCCACTAATTCAGAGCTGGACCAACTAAAATCAAGTTCTAAAAGTTATAATATAGATCAGCCAACAAATTAAAGGTTAAGATCCCTTAAAAATAAAAAAGTGTCATAATTTACTCTCAACCTCATGTCATTCCAAATCCATATTATTTTCTTTCTTCTGTGGAGCACAAGGAAAAATTAAGAAATTTTACAAGATCTTTTTTTTTCTGTGCGCTTAAAATGAATGGGAACTGAAGTTTCAAGCTTTAAAAAAAGTACACAAAAGCAGCATAAATGTATAAGAAAATTGGTCCATTTGACTTGTGGACATATTCTATGTTTTCTGAAATCATATGATGGATAATCTTGATGTGCTCTGTAGCTCATTTTCATAAGTAGCAATTCCTGATTTGTTCAAGAGAGACAAATCTTGAAATGGTAATCAAGTTCACAAAACATGTCTAGATTTTGAATCAGACTGACTCAGTGAGTGAAGTCACTGGATATAATGAATAGTCAAGCTATTTAATGATTTCATACAACTTGGAATATAGTCATACAGGCAACCATTATGATACTTTTATAGCATTTGGAAATCAGTGACCATCACAGTCTTTCGAATAACTCCTTTTGTGTTTCACGGAGCAAATAGTCATTCGGTTTTGGAACGACATGAGGATGAGTAAACTATGACACAATTCTCATTTTGGGTAAACTATCCCTTTGTTTTGAAATACAGAGCAGTCTAATCTTATTTTCTAGGCCCGCACTGGGAAAAAGTTCAAATCCAGATGATGTGTTGTAATGTGTAAAGAATTCACGTTTTCTCTGTTCATGTGCTGTCCAACACCCTATGACATAATTTTAATTTCTTTGGTATTTGTCTTTAAATCGCTCCCACTGGTGTAAGCTCAAACTCGCAGCGAGACAAAAGTGAGTCATTACTGACATTACTGACCTCTCACATTAATGCTGGCCTCAGCATGGATGTCATATCATCCACTCTGTGTGTATGTGCTGTACATGTGGAAGAATTGACAATAAAGCAGACTTGACTTGACTTGATCCATAATTGATACCACGGCAGCTACATGCTCATCATGTTAAACACCTCTTCCTCAGATAGAGGGAAGTGAATCACAGTTTTAAAATAATTAGCAGTGCAGGGGCTTTAGTTTTGGTGTTGTTCATTCAGTGACTTGTTATTAGGAAGTCTAATAGTAATAACAAGTCACTGAGGGACACTAATAACATAACTGTTCTGTTATAGTTCATGTTCCGCTCACACAGGCTTATTCAAGGTCCAATTGTGTTCAGTAAATGGTGTTTATGTGCTTTAAATGTGGGGTTTGTATTACATTAGGTGGCCTATTCTGTGCACTTTTTGGGTCTGTTGTTGTCTGGAGTTAAATTTTG